ATATTAGCAACTAAGTAACTAGTGTTATGGTTTATATTAGCAACTAAGTAACTAGTGTTATGGTTTATATTAGCAACTAAGTAACTAGTGTTATGGATTATATTAGCAACTAAGTAACTAGTGTTATGGTTTATATTAGCAACTAAGTAACTAGTGTTATGGTTTATATTAGCAACTAAGTAACTAGTGTTATGGTTTATATTAGCAACTAAGTAACTAGTGTTATGGTTTATATTAGCAACTAAGTAACTAGTGTTATGGTTTATATTAGCAACTAAGTAGCTAGTGTTATTGTTTATGTTAGCAACTAAGTAACTAGTGTTATGGTTTATATTAGCAACTAAGTAACTAGTGTTATGGTTTATATTAGCAACTAAGTAACTAGTGTTATGGTTTATATTAGCAACTAAGTAACTAGTGTTATGGTTTATATTAGCAACTAAGTAACTAGTGTTATGGTTTATATTAGCAACTAAGTAACTAGTGTTATGGTTTATATTAGCAACTAAGTAACTAGTGTTATGGTTTATATTAGCAACTAAGTAGCTAGTGTTATGGTTTATATTAGCAACTAAGTAACTAGTGTTATGGTTTATATTAACAACTAAGTAACTAGTGTTATGGTTTATATTAGCAACTAAGTAGCTAGTGTTATGGTTTATATTAGCAACTAAGTAGCTAGTGTTATGGTTTATATTAACAACTAAGTAACTAGTGTTATGGTTTGTATTAGCAACTAAGTAACTAGTGTTATGGTTTGTATTAGCAACTAAGTAGCTAGTGTTATGGTTTATATTAGCAACTAAGTAACTAGTGTTATGGTTTATATTAGCAACTAAATAACTAGTGTTATGGTTTATATTAGCAACTAAGTAGCTAGTGTTATGGTTTATATTAGCAACTAAGTAGCTAGTGTTATGGTTTATATTAACAACTAAGTAACTAGTGTTATGGTTTGTATTAGCAACTAAGTAGCTAGTGTTATGGTTTATATTAGCAACTAAGTAACTAGTGTTATGGTTTATATTAGCAACTAAGTAGCTAGTGTTATGGTTTATATTAGCAACTAAGTAACTTGTGTTATGGTTTGTATTAGCAACTAAGTAGCTAGTGTTATGGTTTATATTAGCAACTAAGTAACTAGTGTTATGGTTTATATTAGCAACTAAATAACTAGTGTTATGGTTTATATTAGCAACTAAGTAACTAGTGTTATGGTTTATATTAGCAACTAAGTAACTAGTGTTATGGTTTATATTAGCAACTAAGTAACTAGTGTTATGGTTTGTATTAGCAACTAAGTAACTTGTGTTATGGTTTATATTAGCAACTAAGTAACTAGTGTTATGGTTTGTATTAGCAACTAAGTAACTAGTGTTATTGTTTATATTAGCAACTAAGTAGCTAGTGTTATGGTTTATATTAGCAACTAAGTAGCTAGTGTTATGGTTTATATTAGCAACTAAGTAACTAGTGTTATGGTTTATATTAGCAACTAAGTAACTAGTGTTATGGTTTATGTTAGCAACTAAGTAACTAGTGTTATGGTTTATGTTAGCAACTAAGTAGCTAGTGTTATGGTTTATATTAGCAACTAAGTAACTAGTGTTATGGTTTATATTAGCAACTAAGTAACTAGTGTTATGGTTTATATTAGCAACTAAGTAACTAGTGTTATGGTTTGTATTAGCAACTAAGTAGCTAGTGTTATGGTTTATATTAGCAACTAAGTAACTAGTGTTATGGTTTATATTAGCAACTAAGTAACTAGTGTTATGGCTTATATTAGCAACTAAGTAACTAGTGTTATGGTTTATATTAGCAACTAAGTAACTAGTGTTATGGTTTATATTAGCAACTAAGTAACTAGTGTTATGGTTTGTATTAGCAACTAAGTAGCTAGTGTTATGGTTTATATTAGCAACTAAGTAACTAGTGTTATGGTTTATATTAGCAACTAAGTAACTAGTGTTATGGTTTATATTAGCAACTAAGTAACTAGTGTTATGGTTTATATTAGCAACTAAGTAACTAGTGTTATGGTTTATATTAGCAACTAAGTAACTAGTGTTATAATGGTTTATATTATATTAGCAACTAAGTAACTAGTGTTATGGTTTATGTTAGCAACTAAGTAGTAAGTAACTAGTGTTGCAAAAATGTTTTCACGATTTTTCGAAATTTGACTTTGTCAGACTGTCTTTGAAAGTTTAACTAATTGACTTTCGATCCAAAATATTTTGGAGCATTGGCAGACAACTCTCACTACTCGAGTCACGTAGTTAATTTAGTAGTAGTAGTAGTAGTAGTGTGTTTAGGGGTACTACTTACTGTTTCTACTGCATCTCCTGTAGTGATGAACAATTTTAACGTTCCCATGCCCTCGTAGAATGCGACTGTACATAGAAAAAGCTTTTAGGCAGCATGTAAGTCTTATTAGGTTTTACTGAACGAATAAATGGTAAAAGTAATAAATTTCTTTATATATATTATATATATATTATATATAATATATATAAAGCAATATATATGTATAATGTATATTCACTGTCGAGTATCGTTCAATAAAGTAAATATCTTAGTATTGAACTTTACTCTACTTCAATCTACTTCTCATGTTTTAGGGCTATAGTCATTATGGAGAGTATATATATATTAGAGCAGTAGTAGTATGTAAAGTATAGTGTGTAGTAATAGTACACTGCAACATACTACTAGTATGTATGGTTGTAGTCAAATGCATCATTTTGAAGTAGCTTGATAAAAGGCGTTTTAACGATAAAATGACTGAATAGGTCCAACGGAAATATCCCTGAGATTTCTTTAATTTCTTTAATTTTTCCCCTTCAGGAGTTAAAGTGGTGAGGGCTATATGTTTAGCAGCTGTAATAGTTGAACTGTTAATCTGTTATGTTATGCGATCGTCTTTAAATCATTGAGGTCAGTTTGGGTGGTATTACTACTTTATTTCTTTATATATATATATATTTATATAAAGAACAATCATAAACCAGCTCCCCAAAATGATAAACCGGCGTCTATCGGACATCTCCTGCAATAAAGAAGAGTTTGACAAAGCGAAAGGGATTTACGGAACAGCACTTAAAGAAAGCGGCCACGACCACCAACTAGAGTTTACAGATACTAGCACCGCCTTGCCACGAGCCAACAGGAAGAGATCCAGGAAGATCATATGGTTCAACCCCCCATACAGCTCAAATGTAACAACAAACATAGGCAAAAGCTTCCTCCGATTACTAGACAAGCACTTCCCAGAGGACACCAATTTCACAAAATGTTCAACAGAAACACAATTAAGCTATCATACAGTTGCCTACCCAACGTAGGATCCATCTTAGCGAGCACCAGACACCAAGCTCAGAAAGAACCTACAATTAAATCGAAAACGTGCAATTGCAGAAAGCCGGAAATGTGCCCACTGAACGGACAATGCCTGGAAGCAGCAGTGATATATGAAGCAACTATTGCAGTGGAAAAGGAAAAGAAAGAGCACAAATATATTGGGCTTACTGAAAACACTTTTAAGACCCGTTTCAGTTCACACACAAGCTCTTTCAAACTCGAGAAGCTACGAAATCAGACGGAGCTATCTAAGAAAATATGGGAGTTGAAAGATAAACAAACACCATATAAAATATCTTGGAAAATAATCAAACATGCTCATCCGTACAAGGGGGGTACGAAAGATTGTCATCTCTGCCTTACTGAAAAACTTTATATTATTTTAAATAAAGATGGCAATCTATTAAATAGGAGGAGGGGAACTCATAAGTAAATGTAGGCACACCAACAAGTTTATGCTGAAGAAATGCTTTTAGGAATATTTTATTTTAATTTTAGTTTTTGTTCTTGTATTTCATTTTCGTTTCGTTTCGTTTGATTTTGTTTTTGATTTAGTTTAGTTAAGTTAATTTTATGAAGGAGCTTGTAAGGAAAACATGGATTTATTAATTTAGTAAGTTATTCTAACACTGACGATTGCATTTGCATGAAACTCTGAGTTTGTAGAATCGTTGTTTTCATTGTACAATGCTCCCCTCCCGGGTAGAGCACTCTTGAAACTGGATTTCTCCAAAAGAAACATCATATATATATTTACATATATAATAAGTGTATCTGTATCTAAACCCATGCACAGAAACTAACAACACCATATATAGTCATATACTGACCTGTTTTAATTGATATGTTACAAAGTATGTGTTTCTATTTGAGTATTTGATGTAAAATAATATGTCACAGTGCTGGCAAGCACGACCGTCAGCCTTTAATATTCTTCATTTAGAATCATCAGAAGTCGTTTGACAGGTTTGTTTTGAGGTCGAACTATTCTAATTCTAAGTTTGAAAATCTTGGACCTGTTTTTTCACGATTTTAGAGGGCTGTCAATTCTAAAATCAAATCAAATGTTTTAAAGAACACATTTCATCTGGATCGACCAAGGCAGGTAGGCAGAACACATCCTGATAGTTTCACTCCCCTCAGATACCTACAACTATAAAGTCGATTTCGAGGAAATTTTCTTAACAATTGCCTAAAAATGTGTTTACTAATAAGGAACGCTGAAAAAATTATTAATTATTAAGTATTTTGATTGTATTATAATTATTAGCATGAACCCGTCTAACCCTAAAGTGGTGTCAAGACTCAAGAGACGATATATATGTATATTCTACAATACGCAGTTTACAACTTTAAAAGCCAAAGATATCTTACTACCTTACTTCATAGACAATTTTAAAATTTGGACGGACACAATAAACTGTTTAGAAGTATTTTTGTAAATTTTGTAAATTTTGATAATTTTGATAATTTTGAAAATGTTTCATGATCGATAAAAATTATTTTATAAAGGAGCAACATGTCATAGCGCTACAATTCATTATTCTATTTGGCACTATTTGTTTTATACATATCATGAAACGGATCGTTTGCCCGCCAATTTGATATATATATATAATATATTGTTAGTCAGCCACAACTGTCAGTAAAACAACGCCTTGACTTCAAATGTCGGTAAAATGTACCTTTACAGTCATCCTCAATAAATGTATTTAATTGTAGTTGTGGAAATAGTTAAAAATATATATATATTATATATTATATAACGTTTAATTTGTTACGCTTATATAATGCTCCTAGCAACTAGTAGAGCCCTTTGCTAAAAGAGAAAAAACACCGTTGTATATATATATTATGTATATGTATGTATATATATATCGTCCCCTTTATTATATTATATAATAGCAAGATTATTGATATTTTTATAAAGCTGAATATGCAAAAATAGAGTTTTAAATTTGGCTCAGAAATTATGGCCATCACCCTGAATAGTATAATATAGTTATAAGTATATAAGGAGGTTTTCAGTTGCTGTCAACAACACCAAGTGTGTGTGTGTGTGTGTGTGTGTGTGTGTGTGTGTGTGTGTGTGTGTGTGTGTGTGTGTGTGTGTGTGTGTGTGTGTGTGTGTGTGTGTGTGTGTGTGTGTGTGTGTGTGTGTGTGTGTGTGTGTGTGTGTGTGTGTGTGTGTGTGTGTGTGTGTGTGTGTGTGTGTGTGTGTGTGTGTGTGTGTGTGTGTGTGTGTGTGTGTGTGTGTGTGTGTGTGTGTGTGTGTGTGTGTGTGTGTGTGTGTGTGTGTGTGTGTGTGTGTGTGTGTGTGTATGTGTGTGTGTGTGTGTGTGTGTGTGTGTGTGTGTGTGTGTGTGTGTGTGTGTGTGTGTGTGTGTGTGTATATATTACAGATCAGCAGTAAAACTGACATCTCGCTACTTGTAAACTTGGTGAGATGTGTGAAAATAGCAACATTTCTTCTGTAACCTATCTTACTCGACCGGAAGAACTAAATTCCTGAGATGAGTCCTTTATAACTCTCCGACAAACTATTACTTACATGTTAATAATAATATCTTACATATTGTTCTCTATTCGAGCTTTTCATCTTGGATTCAAACAAATTCTTCATATTATGTGGACTGGCTACACCTGGTTAAAATACTTAATACTTAATAAATGTAATAGATTTGTAGTGTTGTTATTAGTATAAAACTAATAATATCTATCCAGGCAAGAATTTGATTTAGAAAATATGTGCAATTAAAGTATTAAGTTCACAGTATTGTAATAAAATACACATTGTAGATTAGCTTCAAGCTTGAGTACACAATGTCATGACTTCATGAAACACACACGACCGCTAACGTTACTGTACACAGGTACAGTTTACAGTGTACAGTGTACAGTGTACAGTGTCCAGTGTCCAGTGTACAGTTTACAGTGTACAGTGTACAGTGTACAGTGTAAAGTGTAAAGTGTAAAGTGTACAGTTTACAGTGTACAGTGTACAGTGTAAAGTGTACAGTGTACAGTGTAACGTGTAAAGTGTACAGTTTACAGTGTACAGTGTAAAGTGTAAAGTGTAAAGTGTACAGTTTACAGTGTACAGTGTACAGTGTACAGTGTAAAGTGTACAGTGTAACGTGTAAAGTGTACAGTGTACAGTGTAAAGTGTACAGTTTACAGTGTACAGTGTACAGTGTAAAGTGTACAGTGTACAGTGTAACGTGTAAAGTGTACAGTGTAAAGTGTAACGTGTAAAGTGTAAAGTGTACAGTGTAAAGTGTAACGTGTAACGTGTAAAGTGTAAAGTGTAAAGTGTACAGTGTAAAGTGTAACGTGTAAAGTGTAAAGTGTAAAGTGTACAGTGTACAGTGTAAAGTGTACAGTGTAAAGTGTAACGTGTAAAGTGTAAAGTGTAAAGTGTAAAGTGTACAGTGTAAAGTGTAACGTGTAAAGTGTACAGTGTACAGTGTAAAGTGTAACGTGTAACGTGTAAAGTGTAAAGTGTAAAGTGTAAAGTGTACAGTGTAAAGTGTAACGTGTACAGTGTAACGTGTAAAGTGGAAGTGTACAGTGTACAGTGTAAAGTGTACAGTGTACAGTGTAAAGTGTAACGTGTAAAGTGTAAAGTGTAAAGTGTACAGTGTAAAGTGTAAAGTGTAACGTGTACAGTGTAAATTGTACAGTGTACAGTGTACAGTGTAACGTGTAAAGTGTACAGTGTAACGTGTAACGTGTAAAGTGTAACGTGTAAAGTGTACAGTGTAAAGTGTAACGTGTAACGTGTAAAGTGTAAAGTGTAAAGTGTAAAGTGTACAGTGTAAAGTGTAACGTGTACAGTGTAACGTGTAAAGTGGAAGTGTACAGTGTACAGTGTAAAGTGTACAGTGTACAGTGTAAAGTGTAACGTGTAAAGTGTAAAGTGTAAAGTGTACAGTGTAAAGTGTAAAGTGTAACGTGTACAGTGTAAATTGTACAGTGTACAGTGTACAGTGTAACGTGTAAAGTGTACAGTGTAACGTGTAACGTGTAAAGTGTAACGTGTACAGTGTAACGTGTAAAGTGTAAAGTGTAAAGTGTAAAGTGTAAAGTGTAAAGTGTAAAGTGTAAAGTTTAAAGTGTAAAGTGAACAGTGTACAGTGTACAGTGTACAGTGTACAGTGTACAGTGTACAGTGTACAGTGTACAGTGTACTGTACACTGTACACTGTACAGTGTTCTATCTAACTCAAGTCCTCGTAGTTTTAAGGGGGGGGGGGGGGGTTCTCCCTCATTTTTGGTGTACCTTGATTTCAACAAACTAGGGCCTTTGATCGAACGTTTGAGGGCGCCCACCATTGCCCGGATTGCAGCCATGTTAGATAGTTTGTTGGTCGAAATCAAGTTTGACATAAAGATGACAGTGAACCCTCTTTACTTAAACAGGTGCAGGTTGAGTCAATAGTTCAACTACCGGTCTGGAAACGAACATGACTTAAATAGAACAAGTATCTACTTATATAGAATCTACTTTAGATATTAAAAGCTCAGAGAAAATGTAAAATCGAATTTAAAAGCTTTCTCCAGAAAAGCTTTTAAATCAAAAGCACTAAAAATCACATTATTTGTAGGTTCATTATTCAGACTTTATCAAATGATTGCTTCTAAGTTTTGAGTTGTATGAAATTATGTTATTGACTGTAAAACTGTGAAAATGAGTTAATCATGTTAATCATGTTAATCATGTTAACCCATTAGGGACGATAGGGTCGTTTTTATGACCCACCTTTTCTAGACGAAAAACCAAATTACTAAACGATATAACGAATCTATAGCATATATGCTCAAAATTTATTGGGCTTCATTATATGTAGCCCAATAAATTTTGAGCATATATGCTATAGATTCGTTACAGCGTTTAGTAATTTGGTTTTTCGTCTAAAAAAGGTGGGTCATAAAAACGACCCTATCGTCCCTAATGGGTTAATCATGTTAATCATATTTATCATGTTTATCATGTTTATCATGTTTATCATGTTTATCATGTTTATCATGTTTATCATGTTTATCATGTTTAGCATTAAAATTGAGAAGTTGATCTCTTTTAAAAGCTTAATTACTATTACTAAAACTAAAGAAAAGTGTGATCAAGTGTAAAGTCACAAGTGTATATTTAAGAAAAAGTACATAATATTTATTATTTATATTAGGTATATCTAATAACAGGCAAATACCAGAACAGTATTTTAAATGATGTAATATCTTAGTATAACTTGAAGACTATACAACTGAGGCAACTTTTCTAAAAAGAGAGGAAGATGATATAAGTATATATAATATATTAATTATATTATTAGGCCCGTATATATGGTGACTCTAGTGAAAGTGCTGGTGACGATGAAAAAGACCATAAACCAGGGATCGGATTCCTTCGGGAGCATGTAAGATTATATCCAAAGTTTGTTCGCCAATGGGGTGTGTCTGGGTGTCAAAGATCTTCAAGGTGGGTGCTACTTGTGATGAACTCTAGAAGGATGGGATGGTAATACTCGGTCTGGCTGTCTGGAAGCCCATAGAATTCCAGTTCAGAAACCGAGTAAGGAGGTGCGGCTACTGATGAGAAGCCTCCTTAAAGTTTTTTTTGGGTTAGAAACGACATCTGGGTCCCTACCCTCGCACAAGATTATTCTCAATTTTCTTGTTGTGTTCCACAACTGTACTACTAATATATTAGTATGCTAACTAGTAGAGAATGGTAAGAAAGAATACTCAATCCCCTTCAATATCATCCCCTCCTCGGAGATAACCAACTCAATCCCCTTCAATATCACCCCTCCTCGGAGATAACCAACTCAATCCCCTTCAATATCATCCCCTCCTCGGAGATAACCAACTCAATCCCCTTTAATATCACCCCTTCTCGGAGATAACCAACTCAATCCCCTTCAATATCACCCCCTCCTCGCGCTCGGAGATAACCAACTCAATCCCCTTCAATATCATCCCCTCCTCGGAGATAACCAACTCAATCCCCTTCAATATCACCCCTCCTCGGAGATAACCAACTCAATCCCCTTCAATATCACCCCTCCTCGGAGATAACCAACTCAATCCCCTTTAATATCACCCCTTCTCGGAGATAACCAACTCAATCCCCTTCAATATCACCCCCTCCTCGCGCTCGGAGATAACCAACTCAATCCCCTTCAATATCACCCCCTCCTCGCGCTCAGAGATAACCAACTCAATCCCCTTCAATATCACCCCTCCTCGGAGATAACCAACTCAATCCCCTTTAATATCACCCCCTCCTCGGAGATAACCAACTCAATCCCCTTCAATATCATCCCCTCCTCGCGCTCGGAGATAACCAACTCAATCCCCTTCAATATCACCCCCTCCTCGCGCTCAGAGATAACCAACTCAATCCCCTTCAATATCACCCCTCCTCGGAGATAACCAACTCAATCCCCTTTAATATCACCCCCTCCTCGGAGATAACCAACTCAATCCCCTTTAATATCACCCCCTCCTCGGAGATAACCAACTCAATCCCCTTTAATATCACCCCCTCCTCGGAGATAACCAACTCAATCCCCTTTAATATCATCCCCTCCTCGGAGATAACCAACTCAATCCCCTTTAATATCACCCCCTCCTCGGAGATAACCAACTCAATCCCCTTCAATATCACCCCCTCCTCGGAGATAACCAACTCAATCCCCTTTAATATCATCCCCTCCTCGGAGATAACCAACTCAATCC